AAAAAAAAAAAAAAAAAAAAGGATGTAGAGAAAATGGAACACTTGTACACTATTGGTGGGAATACAAACTTGTATAGCCACTGTGGAAACTGGTATGGAGGTTCCTCAAAAAAAAAAAAAAATGAAACTATTAAATGATATAGTAGTCCCACTTCTGGGTATAGATCCAAAGTAATTGAAATCAGCATCTTAACAAAATATATGTATTCACTTGTTCATGGCAGCATTATTACCAACAGCCAAGATGTGGCAGCAACTTGTGTTTCCATCAAAAGACAAATGAATAAAGTACATACATGTGGGTTATTCATACAATGGAATATTATCCAGCTTTAAAAGAAGGGAGTCTTGCCATTTGTGACAACATAGATGAACTTGGAAGACCTTATGCTAAAGGAAATAAGCCAGGCACAGAAGAACAAATATTCCATGATCCCACTTTATGTGAGGAATCTAAAATAATCAAACTCATAGCAGCATAGAATAGAATGATAGAACAGGGAAGTGTTGGTCAACAGGTACAAAGTTTCAGTTGCATAAGAAGAACTCATAGGTACATAGTGTACAGCATAGAGCCTATAGTTAAGGACATTGTATTGTATACCTAAAATTTTGCTAAGGGAGTACATCTTATGAGAAGTGTTCTGATCAGCAAAAAAAGAAGAGAAATCAAAACAGAGCTTTTTGGAGGTGATAGATACATTTATAGCATAGATTGTGGTGATGGTTCCATGGATATATACTTCTCTTCAAACTTTTCAAGTTCTATATATTAAATATATACAGATTTTTGTATATCAATGATACCTCAATAAAGTTGTTTTTTTAAAAAAAGAAAAAATTGACAGATTAAAAAAGTTAGCAACAACTTAAAATTTTGTAACACAGTAGGGTATAAGTCAAACAGTTCTGTGGACCATATTCAGCCATCTGGCCAACCATTTGTGACTTTTGCTCCCTAAAGAGATGTTATGAGATTCCAAAGAAAGTGGAAGATTTTAGGAATAAAGAAAGAGAAAAGAGAGGTTCTGCTGGGCCAGGCATCAGGAGGGGTTACTTGGGTCCCAGGAACAGAGTAGAACCATAACCGGCTCCCTGGAAGAGTTCCCAGGAGGTGGTGTGACATCCTCAAACGGAAGAACTGTGAAGGTATCTTTCATCTCTGATGGAAGAGCTGGGGGGCAGCCTCCAAGGCTCAGCAAGGGTCCCTCAGCCCCACAAGTGCATGGCATGAAGAGGCCAGCTTGTATAATATGATTAGCAATGGCACTGCCACAGACTAAGAATGAGATCCTATTTTCAAATTTCCCTGGTTTTTATACAAACTTGGGAGGAAAATGGCCTTTAAATTATCCGAGATAGAATTTACTGGTAAGATAGAATAATGGGAACATGGAGGCAGAATTAAATTATGAGAAAATTAAAATTATGATATTTTTGTTGAACACCTAATCTTGTGGGCTGTCCATTTGCGCACACATATAAACATACACTGAAAGCTTATTCAAGTGCTTCAAGTTTTTCCAAATAAACATCAGAGATAGAGAATAGAAACAATTCCTAGCAATGTATTTCTTTTTCTCCCTGAATTGATCCACCTAAGCATGTATGTTCATTCTCCTCCTGTACCCTCATACCTATTATTAACATCCTTTTTTTTTGGTATGGAAAATAATTGCCATTCTAATGGTCTGTCATGGCTCTTGGCTGTTTCATAATGTTCCAAAAACACTCATTCTAAACTTCCTTCTTGTCAGTTGACTAGGAACTTGAACCATTTAGTTCTCATGGGCAGAAAGCCAGTGAAGATTTTCATGAGACAATTTAAGTCATGTTAACTCCTCAGCAAATCATAAGCCCTGTATTTTCTTAGCTGTTTTATATTTCCTAATTTAAAATCTATGTGGAGAGTCCGTCTTAAGGAATGGATTGAAGTATGGTCAGTGACTTAACCAGAACCCTCAGGCTAATCATCTCCTCAGTCACATGTATCTAGATACACATACAGACACACTTTGAAAGTTCAATTCCCCGAGGCTACTTGTAGTTCTGTGTAGGAGAGCTGCAGTCAGTCAGAACAGTTGATGCTCTGGGTCATGTCAGAGTTGAAATAGATGAGTATATTAAGCCTCACTATAAAAGTTTCTGTTTGTTAAAATTTCATCCATTCTAGTACAGAATGTTGAGATTTGTGAAGAAAAGCACTCTTCTTGTCTTAAAGTATGTGATTTAATATAATGCATATCAATGATTTCTGTAAAAGTTAATTAGTTGAAAAACATTAAAGGACAATATATTTAGGTACAATTGCATCAACTCATGTTCCTCTTATTTGCAAATATCCTTGTCAGTGACATTTCCAGTTTTATCTTTTCTCAAATAGATGGTACTGGGATGCTCAGTTAAAATGATGAAGAGATAAATATCTGGCAGTTCCTAGAGGGTAGAGGTGGGGGAGTGTAGAAAACAGGATGGCACATAAGTAACTTTTATGGGTGTTATTGGACCAGAAGCTTCAGATTGTCTAAATATTTCAGATTATCTCTTGACACATCAAGTTATTCTTTGCTCCACATCTAATGAAGTAGATGAAGGCTGGCAATCTTCCAGTGGTCACCACAGTATACCTCCTGAAAACATAAATGAAGCAGGGGCGCCTGGGTGGCTCAGTCAGTTGAGCATCCAACTTCAGCTCAGGTCATGATCTCATGGTTCATGGGTTCGAGCCCCATGTCGTGCTCTGTGCTGACAACTCAGAGCCTGGAGCCTGTCCTTGGATTCTGTGTCTCCCTCTCTCTCTGACCCTCCCCTGCTCATTCTGTCTCAAAAATAAGTAAAACATTTTTTTAAAAAAGAAAACATAAATGAAGCTTTCTGAAGCTCTTTGATCTCCTTTATCCCATGCACTGAAATCTCTTCACATGTTCTATAGCCATGATGCTGGCCAAGGCGCCAGTGTATGTGAATGCAGAGGATGTGCTCTGTAACATTTAAGGAGATGCCATTCCTTTCACTAGAATGTGAATTGTGAACCTAAAGATGTGTGGTTTACAATCTGGACACCTGCATGCATTAGCCAGATCCTCTAGGATCACAAGCTTTTCTATTTGTTACTGTATCCTACCTAATTCCTTTTTAAATGCTTCAGTGCTAAATATTGTGGTAGATACATATGAGCTTTCTCTGAAAGTGGGTGAATCATTGCTACTTTTGAAATGTATCTATTATCAGGATGCAAGAGTATGAGAAGGAGGCAAAATCAAAGTATATATTCATCACTAAGAGCTATTGCTGACTTTGTAGACTATTATCTGCTACTCACTCCAATTTGTTATTGGCTAATCCAATTATCATCATAGGGGAAAATCTTGGGATTGTTTTTATGCATGCCCTTTAACATGGGTGCAGAAAAAAACTTCAGAGTATAGAGAGAATACGAGTTGGAAGGTTTTTGGTTTTTTTGTTGTTTTTTTTTTTGCTACTGTTCTTTTTGATACTAATCCCCAGGCAGAGATTATTCGCACATCTGTTGATTTTTTTTCACATTGCACACATTTGCACCTTTTTTTTAATGTTGACTGAATCACTTAATTGTAGAGGAGCATTCATTTTAATGTAAATTTTACAGTATTACATGAGTGAATGTATGAAAATAGCTTGGAACAGTTTAAATTGGGCAGAATTCTGCTTTGATCATAATGTGCCTCTTCAGCATTAAAATAAACTTGCAACATATGCTGAAAAACGTGTAATAAGTAAGTGCCTCTTGCATGGTGACTTATCTGGAAAAAATAAATCATCATTTAATAGAATTCAAGATTCATAAAATACTTCTAACAACTAACAGTGTGATGGTATGATTAGCATCTTATGACAAATAAGTAACACACTATTTCTGATTTAAAGAATTTTTAGATATTAAAAATGCTATCAAATTATAATTATTTTTGGAGAGATTTGAAAATAAAACATTCAGTAGGCAGTTATATAATACTTTCTTATATTGTTCAGACATAATCCTAACTTCTTTACACTATTGAAAAGATAGCAAATAATGGGCATATTGATGTCAATTTTTAACAGCAGTCAGTAAAAATAAAATTACCAACATTCTTGAATCATGACGAGAATAGAGAAGAATTAATCATGACAAAGGAGTTTCCAACAAATAGAATGGCTAGATAACAACAATTTTGCCTTTAAATTTTACATGACAAGGTTTAATTAATGGCAGTTGTCCAAAGAATCTTTCCATTGACATCTTTGAGAGGCAGAAAGGAATTCTGATGTCACGAGCAGAACTCAGATGCTCACTGAATAACTGTCGACAAATAAGTTATCTTCTCTCCTTTTCCCCAGCTGTAAAATTATATACATAAGAAGTGCTTTTGGTTGCAAATTTAAAAAATAAACACATCTAACAATGGCTTAAGCATAGTTCTTAATTACTATGAGCATAGTTAAGTCATAAAAAAACTTGGGAAACTAAATAGGGCCAGATTAATACAAGAAATACTTCCACATAAAAGATAATCCATCAATGTATACCTTTAATCAAAAGGAATACATTTGTCACTTCAAAAAACTATCCTTGAAATCTTAAGCCATTCTCCTTACCTTACCCCTCCTCACCAGCTAGGACTTATTGTAAAACAAATTCAAAGGTGACTCTGTCTTTTGGCAACAGTTACAGAAGACTCTCAGGAAAACTTCAAGTGTACTTAATACAGTACATTATTACTAATTCAACATTTGCTTATTGATTGTCTGTTCTATGCCAGGCTATGCATTTGGGTATCTAAAAACAACAAAACAACAACAAATTGTAAAGCAACACAATGTCCGATTCTTACCTTTAAAGATTTTAAGTGAATTTGGAGATAGAGGTCATATATACAGACATGTTTTCTCCAAGCAGTCCTCTCGGTGGCATTTCAGAGAGCTCTGTGTGAATGTCCCACGGAGCCCATGCTATCAGCACATCCTAAACCACACCCATCATGTTTTCTACTTTTCCACTTGTCCTTTCCCCCAACTCCCCTTTTCCCATCTTGATCGGGGGGCATGGTCATCGGTTTGTCTCCCAAGCCTGAGCCTGGATGTCGTCACACCGTCTAACATTACCCACCTCCCAGGTCCCTGCACTGCTGGTTTTGCCTCTGCTGCTCAGGGCCTCGGCCTTACTTACTTCCTTGTCATCTCTCATCAGGATTGTTTCAGCGCTTCTCTCTAAGGGATCACGCTGCTTCTTGACCTCATTTCCTTACAATCCATTTTTCACATGACTCCCAAAATGGTCTTTTTAAAATGCAGTCTAATCACCTATCTGCTTCATTTAGAAATCTTAACTGGCCCCCAGTCAACTGCAAGGAAAATTCAAGAAACCAAACACGGTTTGTAAAGCCCTTCCTGATCCAGTCCCCATTATGTCTTTTCTTGCAGTTCTTCTCCCTGCTATTTGTAAGCCACACATGGAGATTTGTATAGTTCACTGGACATAGCATGTGATTTAAATGTCATTTTATTTTCATACATGTTTCTCATCCTGGAAGAGCTTAACTCACTGTGACATTGGATAACTAATATTTACCTTCAATATCATCAATTCCAGAAAGGTTTTGCCTAAGTCTTACTATCCCAACTCTCCCCACCACCAGCCACCATCCATAGAATTAAACACTCTCCATTTTTATAGTTTATACTTTGAATATGTCTACTGTAGCATGACATATACTACATTACATTTTTTACACATTAGTTCTCTTAATAAGCTATTTGAGATTAGAAACTGTAACTTCATTCACACCTATCTCAGGTACCTTCCATGCTACCAGGCCTATATTGATCTACTGAGCATCTATTGATCTACTGTGCCCTGTGTAACTGTGCTGTATGAAGTAAATGGATAAATGAATGAATGGAAATTAGGTAATATTATGAAACAATATGTATACTATAACAAAATAAATATAGAGATCAGATTTAAGCCAGGAAAATAAAAATTCTTGCCAAAATCTCTAATCATGATGAAACAAAATGAGATAATTGGAAATCCATAATAACTATGTCAAAATGGGGACTGCCTTTGTGAGAGTGGTGTGGAGGAAAAACCAGACTTGGACTAAAGTATTGATAATGATCAAGGTCAACAGTAAGGAGTCTCGTGTAGACCATTAGGCAATGAGATGACCAAAGTGCAAAGTGATGTGTGTCATTTTTTAACTGCTAGGTCTTACACTCTGGGGGCCACACTAATGTGAATCTTTGATTCTGTGATTGTTGCCTCCCAGTGTAGGTTAAGTGCCAAAGGGTCATAATTGATATTGTGTTTTTGCAACATTAGGAAAGGGTGATGACATGAGTGAAAGCATCACAGAAAAGATGTTATTAGCTGAGCCTTAAAGAAGTGAAAGTTTAAAGAGGAGAGGACGAAAAAGCTTTCATATTTGAAGGGAGCAGAGTAGTGGCAATCAAGCTTACTTAAGGGAACAGAAAATAGTAGTCTGCACATGGTCTGAGCATTTGCATAAGAGAGTATTGAAAATAAAGATTATGGGTAGCTAAATGCCAAGATTCTTGTTTAAGGAATGCAAATCAATTAAAGGTGACAGTGAAGGAGAATGACACTACCAAGTATATTGAGGATGATGAATCTGGCTGTAGTTAGAATCGGAAGTCATGTCACTCAGTTATAATTTAGTTGCAAGTGAGAAAAACCCAATTCAACTGGCTAAACAAAACAAGTTTCTCCTAATTTAAATATTTAAATTTAAAATGATTGTAAACAAGACAAAGTGGACATATTCCCTCACATAATGGAAAAATCTATGACTACGTTAAAAAATGGCAGAATCCAAGTGCTCAAACAATCCAGGAACCAGAACGGCTCCTACCATGCAGCAGCACGTTGCCCCCCAGGAGCTCTGGATGGATGCCAATTCTGAATGTGCAGTAAAATGTGAACCTCTCTTTTCCAATTAAGAGTCTTTCTTTAGTCTTGCTCACTACTATATACCCAGCACCAAGCCCAGCAACCGAAATATATTATTTTAATATTTTTTCTTCTCTTTTTTGTTTCAACATTCTTTTTTAAATTTTTTTATAGTTTTGTTTTTTTTTTAATTTTTGAGACAAGACAGAGCATGAGTGGGGGAGGGTCAGAGAGAGAGGGAGACACAGAATCTGATACCAGCTCCAGGCTCTGAACTGTTAGCACAGAGCCTGATGCGGGGCTCAAACCCACAAACCATGAGATCTGACCTGAACCGAAGTTGGACTCTTAACCGACTGAGCTACCCAGGAGCCCCTCAACATTCTTATTTTTGTTATTTCTGAGATTATAAGGATGTGGTAAATAACAAATGTCTCTTTTTGGTAATATTTCTGCTATCCAAAGCTCCAAGATACTGTACACTTTGTCATCCCTACTGCTTTTACTTTGGAAATCATAGGGCAATGGCATAGTAAAATCATTGTATTAATTTAATTGCCTAAGAAAGAACTTTATTACAGTGGCTTCCACTGGTCCAGTTATATTGCAGCTTGGTTCTACTTACCAATTCAATCCCACTGAATTTTATTTCTACCATACCTTACACCTAGAACACCTGAGCATCATGTCTTTATCCCCATTACTTGTGGAAATAAGAGCAGTCTCTGCCTTATTTCTGCCCATGGGTTCACAGTGAGCCCAACCCTTTCCCAAGAAGCCTGCAGAATGCTGACCTAGTTTCTCTATACCCCTCTGATTCCATGATGATATACATGCTCTTTGCTTCACCCTATGGAAATTGGGGTTCGGAAGTCTGATGTAAATGTTGTAGGTAATAAAGTCATGGGCTTCTGACTCCAGAGATTTCTGTCTTGTGCGAGCCATCCCAAAACTGTAGAAGGCTAACAGCTTTCAAAAAAGCTATAGTCTCACGTTTCACCTCTTGACCAATGATGTGCATTTCCCTACTGAAAGCTTCTCTTCTCACTCATGTTCTCCCTAGACCTCTGCTTTCTAATTCTTTCTTACTGCTCTCATCTCCTGGCTGCAAAAATCTCTTCTTTTTTATTGATGATCCATATGGAACAGATTCTTCTTACTTAGAACTCAAATTAGCATTCCTTTATGAATCTGTTTAGTCCTGAATGCTAGTTTCTATTATTTGTTCAGGAAAAAGAAAAGAACTGAATAGATGTAGAATCGGGCTCTGAAACTCTACTAATGATTCAATTCTTTGACCCCATTCCTGTACACTTAGAACCCAAAGATAAAAATTTCTCAGTCCAAAATTAGTTCCTAGACTCATTTTCCTTGGGCACGTTGGTTTGTTTCACACCTGGTGACCTTGGTTAGGTGACCTGCATCAGAGAGAAGTTGTGATTCCATTTGTAGGATTTTCTCAGTAATATCTACCTTTCCACAGGATCGATGCATACCCATTAACTTGTTGAATAGAAACCACTGGTAATATTCTTTGAAATGTGTGTCTCAGTTACACAGGTACTATTTGAGAAAAAGGACCTTTCTAATAATATTTTTCCAATGAACTTGATACTCATTCTGCATTTTTACCTGACTAAAATTAAAAAAAAAAAAAAGTTAATAGGAAGATTCTGCACAGAAGCTTTAAATTGTGTGGCAAAAGTGGCGATCTGTCTAAACACATTAAAATTCTATTTTCCTTTACAAGTGTTTGCTGCAGATGACCCCCACTGATCTTAAATATATTTCTGTATCTGTAACTGAATAGAGGTTTTCCGTACAGCATGTTCTAATGGCACTCTGGCCTTTAGCCAACAAGGCACTGAATAAGGCTATTTTTAAAATACAGAAACTGGGAACAGCTGCAGCAATCAAATTTGATAAAAACAGAGAGGAACTTTGCTGCTTTTTTTTTTTTTTTTTTTACGGTTTGTCCAAGTTTAGACTTCTTTCATAGAACTGCTTTTGTTCTGTTGTATGAAGGGCTACAAGACTAATACAGTGAAGCCCTTTTAAACAAATAACTTTTAAAAGAATACAACTAAATAGAATAATTTTTCTTTGTGCAACAGCATCAATGCAAAAGTGTTTTAAACTGTTTTAAAAAGAATATATCTCTTATAAGAAGAGGTAGGAAAAGAATGAATTATATTAACAAAGTTTGGACTATAAAAGAGGTTTTGGCTCTCCCTACCCACAAAGCAACTCCTTGAAAGGGGAGATAAAGTCCTTAGTTTTCCAGTGTTCGAAATCTGAAGGTTTGCATTTGAACTTCCCCTATGTACTCAAGTGCTGTTAGGGCCAAAGGTACTTTGAATGTTCCATTTCTAGTTTTCACATAACTATTAGTCATGAATGTTGCTGTATTTTCTGAAAGTTGGATTAATATCAGTGCAGTTCTTTTATAAAGATAAAATGACATGCTTCTTAAAATGTAAAGGAAAACTTTCTCATAGAGACCTTTTGTACTTATCTGAATCCCCCAACATGTCTATATACAAGGGCTTATTCTTTATTTTTTTTTCTTTGAATCCAAACTCTTTGAAAAGTTGTCAGTACATGATTAATAAGCATGATGAGGTGAATAGATACTGAAAATCTCCTATACAGTAGTAGGTTGCAAGTTCTCTCTCCTAAGTGATTTCATGTGTTGAAAGGATTTCTTTGCTGACTTTATAATTGACGTGACAAAGGATATTGTATTTCTTACAAGTATTTACAAATGGGATTAATTTTAAAATCCCATCCAAATAAAACTGCTTATGTCAACCTTAATTCAGTTTAGTAATATAAGATGTAATATAATCCTTTTTCTGTAACCATAAAGTTATAAAATAAGGTCATCTTATTGCAGAAGAAAGGAACAAAACAAAACAAAAAAAAGGGTATGTATGAAATAAAAGAACCTAGGTATATACCAAGCTGTACTAACTTGTTAACAAGTAGCCTATTAGGTACGATGGTTCATCTGTCTACAATCTATTATAAGCCTAAAAAGATGAAAAAGAAAAAAAAGAAGAATCTTCTAACTCAAATTATTCTTTACTAGTGACACTGATGAGTCAAGAACAGCTCATCTTTAAATGATGAGACATTGATGCTAGGGTGTTGTTAGAACTTGAGACCATAAGAGTTCCTGTCTCAGGTCTGCTCTCACATCCTGTTCTCAGCTTGGGGGGGGGGGTCCTCAGTTCTGCAAAACAACACAACTCCTTAAACACACACTGTTCTAACCAGCAATTGTGGCATTCCTGTTGTGCAGAGCCCCGAAGTCAGCAGATTTTCAAGGATCCTCTGGCCGGACACTGGATTTCAGGATATAATCTTATATTTGACAAATAGCAAAAAATTCCAAATGAAGGTTACTGGGATATAATTATGTTTAGTCATGGAACCCCTTTTCTGAAGACATACTGCCAGAAGACTACAATTTACTTCTGACCAGCAGGGTTTTATACAAATAGTCCAAAAAAGCACAGTAACCCTAATATAATGGAATGTTTCAATTCATTGTTAGGAGTACAATATTTATATGTAACAAGATAAACTGGACATAAAAAGCAGCTCTGTTATTCAGTAAATAACTATGCTTCATTATGATGTTCTTATTTTAATTTTCATTATTCAGTTTATAAGTGAGATCATATGCATTACCATGTTAAATTTTTATTCTTTTTCATAAGTGCTTTTCATATTCCATTGAAACTAAAATAAGGAGACAGTAAAGCATTGTATTTTATAATCTATGTCAAGAAAATAACATTTTCATAGCGATTCTGGAAATTGAATGCGAAGACCACATAGTCATATGTAAAATAATATTGGCACTGCCTTCTAATAAGTTGATTCAAAATAGGGTGGTTTCTTTTTTAATTGTTGGAACTGGTTAATTCATAGAGGAATGACAGTTGGTCATCTCTCTGGTGACTTCACACTTTTAGCAGGCATCAATGTTGGGGCACAGGATGCCCCTCCAGAAGCTATTCAGAATTTGCTGACATAAGCCATCATTCATGAGCACTTGCTTTGTTTAGTGATGGTGCTAATATGAGGAGACACGTGAAGTAGCTTGGTTTATGGAAGAGGGCAGCAGAGGCATGGTGCTGTGAAAACATCCCCCCACACACTAATGGCTCATTCACACAGAAAACAAGCAACAGCCTTCAGTCCCTCCACAAAGCTTAACAAGAACAAACTGACTCAAGAACCCAGAAGCAGCAGTGTTCAGAATCACTGTTAGCTTGTGCTCACAAACTCTCTGTTTACATTTACTCATAATACACATTGTCAGCTGCAGCATTGCTGTGGGAGGTCCTTACGCTGGTTCTCTATGGGCCTTGTGAAAGCAATGCTTACGATTTCTTGGGTTGTGAGCCCCAGGGTGAAGATCACTTTTCAAGTATGCCATGTAACAAAGTGATTTGCAGGCCCGGAATCACTTTGGTCCCAGTAAGGGAGGTTGTTGACAACATGCCACACTGCGATTTCTGGTCTTTACTTTTTTTGGATCCATTTAGAAAAGTTCAGAATTTTAGAATGAAAATACATAAAGTTACCGTCAGCTCTGGCTGGTTGTTTTCAAAAACCAGATGGCTTTCAAAGAGATGATCAAATCTATTCTTTAAAAGTCATTTTTAAAGGCAGGCATGTGATGAACCATAGGAATCTACCCCAAAAACCAAGAGCCCACTTTACACACTGTATTTAGTCAATTTGACAATAAATTATATTAAAAAATTAAAAAAATCTTTTTCTTTCCAATTAATACAATAAAATCAGTGATATCTGTATTTTTAAAAAGTACCTAAAATAAAATAAAACCAATCATGTGGGGAGCACCTGGGTAGCTGAGTAGGTTAAGCTTCCGACTTCAGCTCAGGTCATGATCTTGTTGTCTGGTTCGTGAGTTTGAGCCCCACGTCAAGCTCTGTGCTGTCAGGTCAGAGCCTGGAGCCTGCTTTGGATTCTATATCTCCCTCTCTCTACCTCCACTGCTTATAATCTGTCTCTCTCTCCTCAAAAATAAACACTTAGGAAAAAAGGAGGCATGTGATTCCACTATATATGTGTGTATGTGTGTGTGTGTATGTATATATATGTATGTGTATGTGTGTGCATGTGTATATATATGTATATATTATATATGTACGTATATGTGTGTGTATGCTTTGTGTGTAAACATATATATGTGTATATATATATATAATTTCTGTATGTGTACCTTAACCCTTATTTTTCAGATTTTAAAAAATGGAATAGGTTATTTCATACTGCTAGATTTTCCAAACAATTCTAGTTAATCTATTTCTATACCAGACTCTAATTTTCTACTTTCTTCATTTTAACCATTTTGGATGAAATTTATTCCAAAAAATATTTTCCATTTTATAGCTCTCTTCAAGGATTCTTCAGAGTATAATTCACACATGACCTGGAATAGTCATTGTGAATGAGAGTTTTATATTATATTTTCATTTAGTGACAACGTCTGAAATGACTTAGCAGTAGGATTATTAGTGGTATTAATGGTACTATTAGTGTTTTTTTCTTCTCTTCCATCACTGATAGCACTTAATGGTTAGCTCTTATTGTATCAGTATGTCCAGTAATGTGGAATTTGGAATCAAGCATACATAGTTCAAAAACCAGATTTTCAACTGCATGTGAAAACTTAGACATGTAACATCTCTCACCAATAAAATGAGCAGAATAATATCAGTCTCTAAGGATTATTGGGAGTCTTAAATGAAAAAATGCCTATATATATATTAACTCTCTCCATTTCCTTGATAGACTTAAAATTGCATGGTATGTCCCCTTAGGTGCCAAAAGTCTTCTTTAATGTTTCATAGCTTTGGGCTATCCATATGAATAAACTGTGGCTTTACTTCTTTCCCAATCATCCCCTTTTCTTCTTTGCATTTTCTAATTTAGGAGGTCAGGGAAAACTGCCATTGATGTGTGTGAGGAGCTTTCTAAATAAAGAATCAGTGGACAATAGATGCACAAGTGAAGGAAATATCCTCAAAGCATTCACTTAGGTGGATAAACTTCATACATATCTTAGCTTTTTAAAAGTTTATTCTAGATCTTAAGGCGTGTTTCAAATAGTTGCTGGGTAAATGAAGCATCATTAGACGGCATACAATCTGCCCACACTCAAAGGTACAGCTCCATAGATATCCTGGACACATCACGGCCAAATAGAGACATAATAGATGTTGATATGATTAGCAATTTATGGTGATTACAAAATGTCCCTGCCGAGTCAATGAGTACAGCCCAGGACATGGCCTCCCCCCTTGTCTCAGCGTGTTGCTGGACACCAGGCACAAAGGAGCATGCCCTGCCTTGCCCCTCCTTCCCTCCCTTCAGTACACATTATATTCTACGAAATGTAAAATGCTACAACCCACATTCAGTCTGTGTTTGTAATGCGTCCTCTTCAGTTCCCTCACATATGGCAGTCTGAAACAATTACATAATGAGACATGTTATCAGAGTATAACTGTCAAAAATGAAGAGACTGAGCTGTGAATAAATATTACCCACTTATTAGCTGTGCTGCTCCTGTGTTCTTGAACCATACTTTACCCCTGACTCTCAGGTTTTACATTCTTAACCCTCTGATTGCCTGTGTAACAAAATGGCCTAGCACTAACAATATTCAGAAAGACATTTACAAAGCCACTGGAAAATTAAACTCTAAAGTAGTGTTTCTTATCACATTTCTGTTATAGTCTGGTGAAATCTACTGAATATCCTCAGAGCATGTTTTAAAATTCATATAAATACATGAGATAATGAAGGACACCAATTATATTGAAATACTGTTAAAGAGTCACCTGACCCTATGTTAAGAATGTTTCTCTACAGGCATGTGGCTAGTTCAGTTGATTAAGCACCTGACCTTTTTTTTTTTAAACACACACACACACACACACACACACACACACACACACACACAGTAAGAGCGGGAAAGGAGTAGAGAGAGAGAGGGAGACACAGAATCCAAAGCAGGCTCCAAGCTCTGAGCCATCAGCACAGAGCCCAATGCAGATCTTGAACCCACAAACCCGGGGCTCAAACCCACAAATCATGAGATCATGACCTAAGCCAAAGTTGGTCACTTAACCAAGTGAGCTACCAAGACACCCCAAGCATCTGACTCTTGATTTCAACTCAGGTCATGATCTCAACGGTTTGTGGATTCGAGCCCTCTGTCGGGCTCCGCACTGATAATGTGAATCTTGCTTGGGATTCTCTGTCTCCCTCTCTAGTCCCTCTCTCTCTGCCCCATTCTGTGCTCTCACACAGTCTCTCTCAAAATAAATAAATAAACTTAAAAAAAAAAAAGAGTGTTGCTCTAATATGACTCATTTTGGTTTGTTTCATTAAGTTCCTTACCTCTGGAGCACCTGTTCTGGACTTTATATTTTAAATATGAAAATATCGAGTTTGTCAGATTCTCTTGCCTCTGTTACCCCCATGGAGCCATTTGGGAAGACATGTCAACTCTTTCAGAAATGTACTGAAAACACTGCTTTTCCCATTGAACAAAAGCAGTATTTCCTGAGAATTGACACATACTTCCAAATATCAGGATGTCAGGAGGTCTCAGTACTCAGTGGGTGACTCTCACAGGTGGAGCTAACTTTTCAGTATCCACCAGGTCTGGTTGTGATTCATGCCTTCCAGTGTATCATCTCATTTTTTTTTTCTCATGCTCAAAAGTCCCACCAGGGCACAATGACTGCACATAGTGTTGAACATTAAGCCTCTTATTTTTTTGTAGTAAAATTATTTGGAAACTTTGGTATTTCATGATGCAATAGCCAGTTGACTATGAGACCCTCACAGAACACAAAGGTGGTGAGATTCCATAGTTGAGAATAACTGTTTTCCTCAGGGATACATACACTGAGGAAGGAAGGATGTTCTGCCTTTCACCTCACTGTGATGCCATTTAGCATTTACAGCAGCAGTACTGAAGTGAAAATCTCACTTTTCTCTATAGGTTCAGATAGTAAATGTTTTAGGCTTTGTGGGCTGTATGGCCTCTGTTGCAACTACTCTGTCTTTGCAGTGTGAAGGCAGACATAGACCAAAAAATCTAAATGAAAGAATGTGGCTGTGCTCCAATCAAAGCTACATTTTGAGAATGCCTGGGTGGCTCAGTTGGTTGAGCACCTGACTCTTGATTTCATCTCAGGTCATGATCCCAGCCCTGTGAGATTGAGCTCCACATTGGGCTCTGCACTGGGATTGGAGCCTGCTTGAGATTCTGTCTCCTCCCTCTCTCTCTCTGCCTACCTCAAAAAAAGGCAAAAAAATCTAAATTATGAACATTAAAATTCTAATTTTATATAATCTTCAGATGTCACAATATAATATCCTTTTTAAATGTTCCCCACTTTGTAAATGCATAAAAACCATTGTTAACTAACAACCCACACACAAACAAGTAGCAGGCCAGATTTGGCTCGTGGGCTATAGTCCACTCCTTTGATTTTTATGTATGAAATCAATAGCCAGGTAGCAAACCAATCCAGTAGGTTCATTTGGTTGGTCGTGACATGCCAGTAGGACCTGCATGTAAAATAAGTTTAGCTAGAATATGAAGTGAGAAAGTCTTTGATGTTTTTAGATGATACTACATATAGAAACAAAATTCAAATTTCTATAGATAGAAACTGTCTTTGTCGGAAATCAGTCAAGATCCAACCCCCAAAGACAATATGTAAGAAGCATCAATTTTACACAGATATTGCAGACTACTCTATTTTTAAAATGTGGAAGTGTAATGGGAAGCAAATTTGTTCAGCAGAAATTTAGAGCTTCTTTTTATTTTTTTCCTGAACATTAATAGTACTAACCTGAAATTAATGATACCAGTTTACTTTTACTGAAGTTAGTAAATATTCCACTATTTCTATGCAGTTCTTTGTGTTATCAAGAACATGAACATTTGAAAGCCTATCTTCTAAATCTGTAAGAAATATCTTCATTACTGATTATTAATGGTAGAATTGATTTTCAGGGTATTTTTGCAGGGAGAAAAAACAAAGATGAATTAAAAGAAAGAAAAAACTCAGAAGGAGGGTGGTAGACAGCAGCAATATGGTGTGGATTAGACAATCCCTGTGATTCATGGAAAAGTTAGGGCTCACAGATTAACTGCCGTGAGAAAGTGTTTTATTTCTTGTAGAATAGTTCCTATCAACCAGATCATTACAAGATTAGCACAAAATTCCCCCTTTTTAGGAATCAGGCAGTTGCAAAATATATAATACTTCATATGAACTTCAATGTTGTTGTTGTTGTTGTTTTATAAATATCACCAGACACACATCTGGGGTTTTAGTGCTTGCCACAGCGTAGTTTTCTGGTTGACATATATCTAAGAAATGCGTATATTAACACCCAGGCTATAGAGCCAAGTACATTTTAGTGCGGGCTACAGCTGAAAGAATATGTTTCCATTCCTTGTCCATCTGTTCTTGGCAACATAAATTTAAACTAGAAACACAGAATAAGTTTCATGAGAAATAAGACTAAATAGGGTTTAGAACAGCAAGGTGAATGAATGTATGACTTCTTAACATTTGATTTTTATAGCTGGAAGTTTGTATCAACTTGGAGAAATCTCAGCTGCAGCTATAGTTTAAATTTAAAAAAAAGAATAGCTTTTTTTAATCAGTTCATTTAAAAAAAAAATCCAGTGGCTTGGTCTCACTTTCTGTTTTAAGGGCTCATATTTGCCGATGATCATAAGCCTCACAAATTTTGAGATTTCGGAGTGCTTAGTTTCCATACATTTGAACTACACTAAAAATGTATCTACATTTGTGAACTCCATGCTGTAGTGGATCCATAGTGGGGAAAGAGGGTTTTCCATACAAAATGGAGTTCATACAGAACACACTTGCTTGTTTTTCTGCAAGTCCAACCTCAGCTATGACAAGCTATTACATTATTATCTCGTAAAATCATCCTGCTCTCTGACTCTCTGCTCTAATCTCCAGCTTGTTCTGCTACTACAATATTAAACTCTTTATTCACATTTGAAAAAAAACATGGGGATACATAAGAATATTAAAATATAAAAGGACCATATATATGCACCTGGAATTTTGCCTCCCTCTCAGGGGTCGAGGCACTCTGAGCTCAATAAGTAAGCTGGGCAGCAGCTGCATGTCAGGCCTGTGCTCTGTGGGATTCTCCTGATGTGAGGGCAATCTCTGCCTCTGGCTGAGCCAAAGTCTTCAGGTTGGAAAGGGACCTTGATGCTTGCACAGTCCAACCTCTTTCCCTATGTAAGAAGAATTTCTATAATCTTTGTGTCTCTCTTTTTTATATAATTGATATATAAAGTGCATAGTGGTTATGCATCAAAGTAATCGCGTTGAAATTTTGGCTGTGTCACTTCCTAGGTATGTTAATATGAATAAATTAGTTAACTTCTCTACTGTTCAGTTTCTCTATCTGTGAATAGGAATAATCATATTTACCCTCAGTTGGTTTTAAGGGGAACCAAAGGAGTCCAGCAACAGGCACTTAGTAAACACTCAGCAAGCAAGAGCTATTACTATTAGTTTCATTCTACTGTCCTCTTAAAACAAATAATAATAATTACACTGTGCTAATTATTTAGGTGGTGCCCAAGTAGTATTTTAGTAGCATATTTTTTATCATCAGAAAAAAACATTTCAAGAAACTCATATTGTTTCTTGAACTTCTGCACAAAGTTACCTATCACTATGGACAAGTCACTCGTTGATTTAGAGACTCAATCCTCTTATCTCTAAAATGAGAAACTTAATTCCATGATCTCTAGGGTCTTTTGTTCGAGTAATGTAATAAAATCATGTTTGACAGCTTATCCTCATCCTTTATTTATAGTGTTGAAATGTGTATTTGCTGCCAAATGTATAAACGTTCCATATATACATGTGGAATAACAAGTTTGTTGATGTTAAAAACTACTGGTACATTCTTTGGCATTATTTGGCTACAAATTCATTCTTCCCATTTTGTTTTAGACCAAGCTGACAGCAGATCTTTTCCCACAGCATCTTGGGGTTTAGTTAAACTGAGAGCTTTAGACATAGGCCATCTTTTCATTACTTTCAGAATCCAAGACAAGCTTACTTTGTCAAGTAGCTTTCATTTTTCATCTTCATAATATCTAAGGGCATGAAGTTGTATACATATGGATCTACACTGTAACTTACAAGGCTTCTGTTTTCTTTCAGATCTGAGTGACCAGCTGCTGGAGGTGGTTGGCTTGGAAGGAGCCATGGAGATGGGACAAATATACACGGGCCTGAAAAGTGCTGGGCGGCGGCTGGCTCAGTGCTCCTCTGTGGTCATCAGGTAGCTATTGCTCTATAATTGAGAAAGGGGATTGAGATGGTTTAAGTATAAGCTAATTAAAAGTATTCAGGACATTGATAACATTTGCCTTATTTGTGCCTCAGATTATCAATAATTTATACTGATATTTCAAACTAATGGAAATTGGCATATTTTACAAAGTTTTACTTAGCTATGACTTATCAGATTTATATGAATCAGTACCCTCTTGTTCAGACCATGGATACAATGTTAACATACAAATTTCATCTCCACTGAAATGGTTCCCCTACAGTTTAGTTTGCTGAAGCCTGAAAGTACCCACCAGGCATATTACCCAATGGAAACACTGTTCAAGCACCATTAACTTAAGTCCTTTCATGGACCATCATTTCTATAAGATTAAATAATCAATTATTGTAAAGTAAGATTTTATATATGTGTTAAATTTAAAACTTCTTAAGAAGCATTTTTCCAGAATTTTACCTTTAGGAAAAAAAAGTCTTTTTTGACTCTAAGGTGAAACTATGGGGTATAGCACAGTTATAATTGGTGTTATTTGTATGAAAATGTTGGTACTGGTAAACCTGAGACCTTAAACACCTTTCCTCCACGTATGAGATGTAGGTTTTCATGAAAACAAGGAGGCTTTTTCAGCTATAAGAATTCTGACTATACATTAAGCAAAACCCTACATTTTTTCGGTTGATATTCATATTTTTTATATCCTCACCCTTTCTAAGAAGCTCTTAATACTCCTGTCCCAAGATACCTTTTCAGAGTGTTCATTAATAGTCAAGAGTTGAAGTCTCTTTCAGAAGAGATAACTTTAGAGCCAGCTATTACCATATTTGTTTGCATTCCCTGGTCTCATCATCTTATATCTTACATATAGTCTGTTATATAAAATATTTAAGTGTTATATTTAAAATGAAATATTTTCCTCCAGGACTAGCAAGTCTCTGCCAATGCAGATCGATGGGGAGCCATGGATGCAGACCCCATGCACAGTGAGTATAGAGTAGTTGAAATGATATGTCACTTGATATTTGATTTTCAGATATCATGTGCTTCTATAACTAACTAATCACATACTCCTATAACTGAATAACCACAATATTTAAGCTTTGGACCTATCACCAAGTACCTTTTTCTACTTATTATTGGTGTGTCAGGACTATTACCTTCAGGTTTGTGGGATTATATGCCCTTGGCATTGGTTTGACTTTTGAATATTTGTGTTAGTCTAAGTACAACCTTTAGATACCATAGATCAATTATATTATCAGCTCTGGAACAAAACAAAATTGATAAAATTTTTCTTGTACTTATTTCAGAACACCATATGAGAAAATTATTTGTAGGCCTTCAGACATAAATCTCCCTGAATCATTACCCATCTGTTTTTTGGAGGTTTTTTTTTTTGCCTCCATTTGGGTATTTGAGGACATCCTTCTCTGTAGAACACTCCCCCTATTGTTTTTCCCTCCATAATGTTATATTATTTAAGTTAGACATTTAGACCCCCTAAAATTTCAGTTTCCATTTGTATAGTGAATATTTTGTCATATTTTAAAAATATGTTAGGCAATGCTCTTGGTATTAAGAATAGAAACATGATCAGTGATATATATTATAATAATAGAACAGGCTCAATAATATAATTGTCTTCAAGAAACTTCTCTTTGGATAAGAAACTAATATAAATAAAAACAAACTGATTCATCACAAATGGAACTTCAGACTACAAGAGTTATGAAAGCAAGTACAGTAAAAGATGTAGGAGGCCTCTTTGAAAAAAGAATTAAAAGCTCAATATGTTAGAGAACTATTAAGGAGGGTTTTGGTTACCAAAACCAAACTTTGTAGAGGTAGGGGGAGAACAGAAAGAGATAAAGTACAAAAGATGGACAGGGGACAGATCATGTAGAAAAAAATGATGGCAAAGAGTTAGCATTTGATTCTATGTGCAGTGGGAAGCTTTTGAAGGCTTTAAGCATCATCTGATTTACATGTTAGAAGGTCACCTGGCCACTGGGTGGAGATTGAATTGCACTGAGTAGCAGCTGGAAGAGAGGCTGTTAGAATAGTCTGGGCTCAGGCATGGATAGTGACAGGGAACTAGAGGATTATAGCAACATTCTAGAGGTGGAACAAGAAGAATTTGCTAATGAGTTCCCAGGCAGCTGAGAGAAAGAGATGAATCCAGGTTAGCTCTTACATGTGAATGATGATGCATTTACTGTATAGTTAAGATGCAGGGGAGGGGCGAGAATCAGTTGGGAAAGACAGGAGATCTTAATCTTAGATTAGTATAAGCATCGTACTAAGTGCTGGTGTTACATTTCAGTATACTTTGAGATATAATTAATATACAGCATTGTACTAGTATGTGTTAAATATTAACATAAACATTAAATAATGGATGTCATCGTTTTTCAGATGGAGAAAATGGAGGCTTTGAAAGGTTAAATAACTTATTCAAGGTCAGATAGGTAGTAGAAATCAAACCCAGGCCCTTCTCTTAACCACTAGTTGAAACAAATTTAGCTACAGATTCCAAGCAGTACAGCTTAGCATGTAAATGGGAAGCTTTAATTTTACCTTTCCAGTGGTTTTACTCTAAATTTATTGACTTTACTTTTTGTGTACAGCAAATAAATATGATCTTTTGTTTATTCCTGGTATATTATTTTTAGCTACTTTGAACCCCAAGTTTCTGTATTTGTTTATTGTTTAAAATAATGTAAAATAATCTAAACAACCTTGTTTAAAAATCTCTGTAGATTGGCTACTTTCTATGCTTTCTTTTATCTTTGTACTGAGTTCCAAATTCCCTTAAAAGAATTCCTTTTCTCCCTTTACCAGCATGTATGCACTTGTATCTTGTCTGTTATTATTCTCTCTCCCCATGACACTTCTAAGTTGACATTTATACTCTCAGAGATGTTAAAGATGTTGCTACAAGTAGTGGTGGTCATGGTGGTGGTGGTGGTGATGATGAGGATGATGATGTGCTACAGTGCTGGTGATGTATGGTTGGTGATGGTGGTCATGATGAACTGGTGGATGTGCTACCAGCAATGCTGGTGATGTTAGTTGAGGTGGTGGTGGTGATGGTGGTTGTGATGTGAGATGATGGTGGTGGTACTGGTGGTAGTCTTGTCTTTAATGAAAGGTCAGTTTTCATCAGCTTGCTTCACAAGATAATAAATTAAAAAACACTGAAACACCAAACCCCTTCCAGAAGGACTGAATTTTTTGGATTCTTCCCAGGGAAGAGGGGACATTTACTCCTTACTCCATGTTTAAAACCTAAAAGCATTAATGGTCATAATAATAATATCTAACATTTATTAAGCTTTTAGTTTGTGCCATGTACAGTGTGAGACATTTGACCTGTATTGCCACATTTAATTTTCACAAAATCTGTATGATTAGTTTCATTTTATAGATAAAGTAACTGAAGCAAAGGTCAAATCATTTGCTTGATTCCACACAGATAAAAAGTGCTAGAGTAGAAGGGCTCCTGGGCAGCTTAGTAGGATTAAGTGTCCAACTCTTGATCTTGGCTCAGGTCATGATCTCACAATTCATGAGCTCAGGCTCATGCTGAGCATGGAGCCTGCTTGGGATTCTCTCTCAATCTCTCTCTCTCTCTCTCTCTCTCTCACTCTCACTGCCCTTCTCTGCTGCTTGCATTTTCTCTTTCTCTCTCTCTCAAAATAAATAAATAAACATTAAAAAGTGGTAGAATAGTAATTAAACCAGTAGCCTAGCTCCACTGTCTTCCCTCTTCATGGTTACTTCCTACCATGGATCTCAAGCTAAAAAGGCCCTACACAATCCTTGTGACTCCCTCTCCAGAGTGTAAGGTAAATATCGCTTACTGCCTTTCCCCAGCTTTAAAAAGTTATGTCTATGAAAATCTAAATGGTGTATCAGAATAATTTTAGCTTGAAAGATACTTTTGTTAACTTATCTTTCATTTACTAACTGGATATTTCTTTTGCCTATTAATTATCATGATCTATACAATTGTTAAATGAATAATAATTTTATATAATTTATATTTAATTTTCTGTCCTTTATTTTTTCCAAAGTTTATTTATTTTGAGAGAGACAGAGACAGGGTGAGTAGGGGAGGAGCATGAAGAGGGAGAGAGAGAGAATCCCAAGCAGGCTCTGCACTGTCAGCACAGAGTCCCATCTGAGTCTTGAACTCAGGAGCCATGAAATCATGACCTGAGTCAAAACCAAGAGTTGGATGCTTAACTGACTGAGCTACCCAGGTGCCTCTAAGTTTCTCTCCTTTAAACCCATATCTTTTAAAACTTTTATTCCAGTCTGTCATGGGCCCAGAGCTGTACTAGACGATGGCTCATTATTGTCATTTCACATTCTGGCATACCCTACTGTTCCCAGAGCCACATGGAGTTCTGAACTTTAAATTTCACTTTAAATGAAGAGACTATTTAGTCTTCAAAACATTGGTATGGTTTAACTAAAGAATCTTCTTTGTTTCAATTGAATAACAAAATGTTTTTCATACAGAACATAAAAATTGATAGAATATAAAAACTTCTTTGCTGATTTAGCTGATATTTAATTTATGAAGGAGTTGTTCTATATATATATTGTGCATAGCAGAAGTTCTGTTTTTCTCTAAGTGGAATATATAAAATGGAAAGGCAGGTGATAGAGTGGGTCTTAATTCTGAAGCCATTTGATAATTTTTAAAAATCAAAGTAATATAAGTTCTGCAGATCAGTTGTGGTGATGACTCCACAGCAAGGAGAATATACTGAATGCCATCAGACTGTATACTTCAAGAACGGTGAAAATGTTAAATTTTCTGTAACTATTGGCCATGTAACTATCGGCCATGTTCACCAGCGTATCAAACTGAAGAGACAACTAGTTTCAGAAGACTTTGTATTGAAATAGTTCAAGAAGAGCCTTTCTTTAGGCTGGACTCCCCAGCCTATTTTTCCCTTTATTTATCTTCTTCTTCATCCCCAGTCATTCTCCCTGAGCACACCCAAGATACTGTTTGTGTTGTCAATATGTTCCTATTGTGGAGAGAACAGAAAGAATAGCTTGGGGAGGAGGGGAGAGAACAGTAAGATATGGGAGATCATAGACTAGGTCAGATTTCATCTTTTATCCATTCATTACTAGTGATGGGTGCCCAGTAAACTTCTGTTAAGTTAGGAGTGATTACACAAAGCCACAAATTTGATGTAGCTAAAACGGACTTATCATCTGTCTCCCTTCATTTCCTCCCTACAAACAAGTATTGACTTCTTACATTCTGAAACACTTGCTCCTCCCTTTACCATATTGAGTTAGTGAAACCATTATGTACCCAATGTTCCCTAAGCTAGAAACCTGAGTACAATTCTGTGTTTCTCTCCATACCCCCAAATTCAATACCATGTCCACCTACCCACACGATGTATTTTTGGAATTCTTCCATCCTTACTACCCCGTCCTAGATTTGGCCCACTTCATTTCTCTTTAACTCCTGGCAATAAGCACATCATTCTTTCTCCATCTCCATTCCCCCCCCCCATTTAAATTTATCCTTTACCTTTCTACCAGAATGATCAATCTAAAATACTAATCTCACCATGATATTCTTCTGCTTAAAGTAATTTAATTACTTTCCTTCTGATAAAATATAATTTGAATCAGTCTTCCTATTTCACCAGTATCACTCATCTTACTTCTCTTTAATCTCTTCATGCACCTCCCTTGTGTCCAAATAAACTTTTCTTCTTCTTTAGTTGAGTTACACAACTCAGCTTGAGACTCATTTCATGCTGTTCCTCCTCCGTAAACCCTTTCCTGAGCATAGCCATTTCCTGCACCCCATTCCTGACCCCAGCTAGTCAGAAAGCCCTGCCTCAGTGCTTCATAGCTTCATCCAAGCACTAATGATATTATACTGAAATTATCAGCTTGTCTGTCTAGCTCCTTGATAGACATAAGCTTATTGAGGTCATGT